GTTTCTTCGGGATGATCTGGTCCCTCACATCCAGCCCCCGAGTTCTCGTGGATTTTTCCTCTTCATCTTTGTGGGGTCGAGCCCTGGAGTCAAAATAAGACCACCAGAGGCTGCTATTTGATTTTTTAAAAAAAGCAGGCAAGGATTTATTGAACTGGCCAGGACAGCCGCCAGAGCACCACATGCAGGTGGAGTGTAAGCTGTCCTTTTAAAGGGCTAAACCACAAAAGTTTCCCTTTGTTCTAAATTCTAAATTCTAAAGGCTGGGAACATTGGACTGTGGATCTATCTTGCGAGAGCAGATAGTACAGAAGCAGAGCTGAGCAAACAATCTCTAAAAGTTATCTGGAGTTTCGGCTCCTGGAGCTACTGCGTCCCTGGGAATCAATCTCCTGTGGTCCTGGGCCACAGGCGCAGGGAAATTGCCTTAGCCTCCAGGTCTCCATCTGGAAGCTGAGGTAGCTACCCGATTGTTTAAGCAAGTAAGTGAGTGCAGACGCCAGAATAGCAGGGTTAAAATTGGAACAAGTATGGTTGCTACCATACTTCATACTTACTGAGTACGTATTGTGTACCTAGAGTACATCGGTGAGGACTTTTTCTGATAGGAATTGATACTCGAGCATCCTTTCTCCCACCCCCAAGTTAAGCAATAGATGCTAGGAAGTTGACCTAAATGACCTTGGATCCATTCCAAACCACTGGGCCTATGTTTCCTGTTCTAGAACACCCAATTTCTTTTTCTTAAAAAAAAAAAAAAAAAAAAAAAAGATATTTTGCTGAAACTGGTTTGGCTCAGTGGATAGAGCATCGTTCTGCGGATTGAAGGATCCCAGGTTCGATTCCGGTCAAGGGCATGTACATTGGTTGCGAGCACATCCACAGTCTGAGGTGTGCAGGAGGCAGCTGACCGATGTTTCTCTCTCATCTCTCATCGATGTTTCTAGCTCTCTATCCCTCTCCCTTCCTCTCTGTAAAAAATCAATAAAATATTGACTGAGGACAAGGGTGTCTATTTTTTTTTTTTTTTTTTTTTTTTAAGAATGAGAGAGGGAGAAACAGCCATGTGAAAGAATGTCCATCAGCTGCCTCCTGCATGCTCCTTACTGGGCACTGAACCCCAAACCCATCAGCATGTGCCCCAACGGGGAATCGAACTAGCAACCCCTGGGTGCATAGGATAATGCTCCAACACTGACCAGGGCTCTTTGTGGGTTTTATTTTTCGTTTCCCTAATGGCTAATGACGTTAAACATCTATTGTGCTCATGGGCCATCTCTATATATTCTTTGGTGAAGTGTTTTTTGTCCATTTTCTAATTGGATTATTATTTTACTGTTGAATTTTTAGAGTTACTGTATTCTAGAAATTAGTTCTTTGTTAGATAAGTGGTTTGGAAAATACTTTCTCCCAGTGTATAGCATAGCTTTCCATCCTTTTACCAGGATCTTTTTGCACAGCAAAAGTATTAAATTATGATTAAGACAAATTTATCCGTTTTTTCATTATGGAATACATTTTGGTGTGAAGTCTAAGAATTATGCCTGAATGAAACAAATCTAACAAGCATTCCCTCTGTAAGGCACACCGCTGACTTCTTGTACTTGCCAACACTAGACAGCAATCCAGCACTATGCTTTTGGGGGCCATTTGAAAGAGCAAAATCATCAATGAAAGACACAGAAAATGTGAAAAAACAAAACAAAACACTAAAACGTGGCAGGAAGTAGACCACAAAAAGGACACTTTGTTTACAGTGTGAGAACTGAAAAAAGGAGGCAGACTGGCCATGTTCAGCCTCAGCTGGGGACTCTCTTGGAAAGTTGATGTTAGTGTTCTGGTAGCCTGGTTGAGGGGGGAGGGGGAGGGAAACAGCACCTCTAGACTGAGGAGTCAGTGTTTTACAAGATCCTTGTGCTGGTTTTTCTCTGCTAAATCCATTTCTCACCCTTTCTTTTGACTGAGGACAAGGGTGTCTAAAGACAGTATCCTCTGAGCCACTTTGCTCTTGGCGATTGGTTGGGTTCCACTGGGGCCTTCCCTTTCCTGGAGGGTTGGGAGTGCTAAGGCTTCTTGCTGTTGCTAGCTCCTGGTACCCCGCTATTGAGGTTCCATAACCCTACCCACATCTTTGTAAATAGTCCTTGTCCTAAACTCCCCTCAGTGGAAGCCTTGGGGTCTGTTTTCTGCTGAGACTCTTATTGATAAAAGTCCTCATTTCCAATTTTCAGAATAGAACCCAGTCCTCAGCTATACCTGTGTTTTGCATGCCAGAAATCCTGTTTTACCTTTCTTCAGAAAATATTCCTCAGGACTTCTGCCAGGATGAGGGAGGGCAGTTACCTAGCATGTGAAGGAGGGGTGGGGCATCTAGGTAGCCAGCTGAGTTAGGTAGCCAACTGTGTCTTCCCCTTCACTCAGTCTTCCTTGATTTACCACCCCCACCCCATTCATGGCTGGCACTGAGTTCATACATGGCTGCCTTGTATGTACATGGCTGGTACTGAGTTCCTGAGCCTTTTGAGGATTCTCATGTGTAAATTGGACTATTTTCTCCACTGCTCTAGTGTATCTATTGATAGCTAGTGAAGATCCATTGTTTTTATCCATCTCCTTTCCAAAATGTTCCTAACATCTCAGCTCCTATTCTCCCATTGACCTATGATATATATATATATGCCTAAGTTACCGTTATGACCGAACGACTGGGATGACCAATCAACCAGGTGCTATGACACACACTGACCACCAGAGGGCAGGCGCTCAATGCAGGAGCTACCCCCTGGTGATCAGTGTGTTCTCATAGGGAACCTCCCATGGCCCCTTCCCCCAGGTGGCCAATCGCCTGCAGTCCCTCTCCCTTGCCCGTCAGTCTCCTCTCTGCCCATTAGGCCCCAATTGGGTGGGAAGGGGATGGGAAGGGAAGTGGCTGACCAACCTCCTGGGGTCCCTTCCCCCCTGGCCAGCCAGGCCGACAGATCCTACCTGTGCATGAATTCGTGCACCAGGCCTCTAGTATATAGGATGAAATAAAAACAAAAAAGTTTGCTATAGTTTTCATGGACTTTTAAAAATAAATGAAATTATATGCATTGTTTCACTCAGTCTTAATCTGGAAGCCTCCATAAATATTTTTTGAAACTATTTCACAAGCATATGTTGAGCATATTTGGAGTGTGTTCTCTGTCACCTAAATAAGGCCAGATCCACTAGCCTTAACAACCAGCAGTTGGGAGTAGGAGTGCTGAGGATGACTTGGGACAGACTTCTGGAGAGAAGGCTGCACCACTGCTGCACAGATGGGTGGAGTGAATACCCATAGTCAAAGTGCAACTGTTCAGCCCTGCAACCCAGGGCAAGTGTACTTTCTAAACCCCCAATTCCTATACTGCAGGGTTGCACCTTCCAAAGTTTGTTCTTTGGAATTTTAGTCCAATGCTATGCTTTATCATAAAAGGGTCAAATTAGTTTGAGAAATGTGTATACTCTATCCTCTTCACCTTCAGAATTCCCAGATATGTTATATATTAAAGTTTATGGAGAATCCTGCCATAGTCACTTGATTGACTTTGTTGCCCCCCGCTTTTCTCTGATATTACTTTGCTAGGTAACTTTTTGCTTCCATAATATCTAATATAACTACTACTACAGAAAAGACTTTGGAAAAAATTCCGTATTAGCCCAGAATAATTTTAAAGAGGGTGCAACCAAATGACATGCCGGTCATGAAGCAAAAACAAAAATTAAATCTCAAGCAATGCCTCCTAGAAATTCCTTATGAACTTTCCATAATAAACTATCTAAAATGTACCTCTTAGCACATTAAATAAATTTATCTGCATTTGGGGTAGTTTAACTCTTGTGAAGACAGACACCTTCCAAAAATGATAAGATTTGCCTTATTGATATCCAGCCATTTGTTATGGTCTATATGTTTGTGTACCCTAAAATTCATATATTGACATGAGGATGGGGCCTTGGGAGTGATGAGTCCCGAAGGCAGAGCCCTCATGAAGGGGACTAGTGCCCTTAGGAAAGAGGCTCCAGAGAGACCCTCACCGCCTCTACCCTGTGAGGATACAGCGAGAACCTCACCAGACACCAGATCTGCCAGCACCATCACCTTGGACTTCCAGCCGTCAGAACTGAGAAATAAGTTTGTTTATAAGCCTCCTAGTATTTGGTATTTTGTTATCTAGCAGGCCAAATGGACTAAGAGACCATTCTTTCTTATCAGAATAACAACTCGCCAGTTATTAATTAAAGCCATTGTCGGGTCTTCACAATAGAATCATTTCCCTCCCTGTATTCAAAAAATGATTGTTTCTCTACTACAGGCATAAAGGAAAAAAAAAAAAAACCCAAACAAACATGTAGCTTAGAGTGCCTGCATGCAGAGCATTTCGGGTTTCATTTTTTCTACTGACATTTTGTTCACGTTTACATAAAAGAACATTCCTGCATACTTACTTTATGAAGGAATGTAGTTTGCAGAGTTGTTTATCCCTCAATTGACAGGGCATTTGAGTTTTATCTTTTGTACCTAATGTTATTTTGTACAAACATTTACATAAAGGGATAGTGTTCACATATTTATTTTATTAGGGTAATATAATTTGTATAGAAATCTGTCAATTATTGGACATTTGAGAGTTCCCCCCAGATATATATATATATATTTTTACAGTAATGTAAACTTTGCCATACACATTGTTTTTCATGATTCTGGGAACTTACTTGGAATATTATTTGGAAATGAGATTAAAGACTATAAGATTTTCTGATTCTAATATTTTATTGCCAAATTGTTAAACTTTTCAAGAAGTCAAAACGTCACCTTTTCTGGGTTCCTCTGACCAGTTCTAAACTTAAATTCCTGAAAACAAACCTCATTAGCAAGGTCATGATGGCTCCTCTATAAAACAGAATCCAGCAACAAGGAAGAAATTCTATTTTCTTTTCTTGCAAAAGGCTGTGTTTTGAAGGGAAAGATGAATATCTCAATTGTAGAAATAATAGGAATTATGGTCATAGAATTGGTGTTTCCTCCCTGAATGCACCTTATCCCTAAGGTCTTTATGGTCTTCTAGAAGTGATTTATGGAAACGTTTTTGTGCACTGGATTTTGAAAAAGAGTTCTTAAGCTCAAGCAAGTTGGTCGGAGTCTTGGGCGCTCCAACTTTAGGCATCCAACCCAGAAGAGATTTTGTTTCTTCATCGTTTTCTGTGTTGAAGGTCAACTGTTCTTCTGGCTTCCTTAAAAAACAATTTAGATCAACAGCTTCTGAGTCTGGTTTATTTTGTACAATACTAGGCGTACTAAAGTTAACAGGGTTTTGACAAATAGCATACCGGTCAAATAAGGCAGATTTAAAATGTTCATATTCAATGTAGTGGTTGGGGTGGCAGCAAGGTACAGGTTGAGGTTGCGGTTTTAATGGCAGCTGTCTCCGGTACAAATCTTCTGTCTTTTTAGTGTCTGTAATTTTTGGAAATGGTGGTGTGTCATGAATGTTAGTCACATCTTTCGTTGGGTAACAAGGTGGGTATGCAAAGGTAGATAACAAACGTTGTTCTTCCTTAATCTTGTCTTCAATTTCCTTGTATTTATGGATCATCCCTGCTAGTGTGTTATCACGGAGTGCCATTATTTCTGAAGAACCGGGTATGAAGGTATGAAAATTACACAAAACTCTAGGGGTACAATCAGGGCAGGCAGGTGGTTTTTGCTGAACAGCAGGCTCCAGAGGACGTTGGTTCTGAATCAGTCGAGCTACTCGTCCATCCAAGGGTCGGGGGGGTTTCAGGGCAGGATGGAATTTTTCTGACTGTAGTGGTGGGATAAAAAGGAGAAGAGTGATTAATTAATAAACCTGGCCTTGTAAAGGATATTGCCATAAATGGCCAGTCAAAAATCATACCCATTTCCATAGTCTGAGTAAACACAGATGGGTGCAGAAGTACATGTTTGACTGTTTTTTATATTTAAAGATATTGAAATTTGGGTCCTAAAAATCACGTTTTCCTCCTCTACTAGTTTTTATTAATATGGAAAGGGTGTATTTTTACTTAGCCATACTGAAATTCCTCTACGTAGGAACTCTTTGCTTTCAAACTTTCAAAGATGTAAAAGAATCATTGGAACAAAACTGCCTGTTATGGGCAATTATTTAAATCCCTGTTATTGGCCTTATTTATTAGGCCAAGGCAAGGGTTCTTAAACCTTGGTTGAATCAGGATCAGCTTTGGAGCTGGAAGAAAATGAGATTCTGAAACTTGATCCTCTGAGATTATGATTCAGGAATCTGCTTTTTCAACTAACATCTCAGTGATGCTGAGGCTAGTGATGTGCCATGTTTGTGGAGACACTGGTCTGAGAGGAATTTGCATATCTGTTCCTGTTTTTTAAGATGTTTTATAAATATTGTGAACTCAGTCATGTCTGTAACTTCAAAAGTAGTGAGTGTATTAAAAGGTTGATTAATAGGTATATGTCTTTGGGGGGGTAGGAGGAAGGAGAGGAGAAGTTGGGAGCTTTTTGAGTTGATGGTAATTTTCAATATATTGCTAGAGGTTTGCGTTAGAAAGATGTACACATTTGTCAGAACTCATTGAGTGTATACTTAAGATTTGTGCATTTGAATGTACATTTTATCTTAAAAGAAAAAACTGCAAACAAATTGAACTGTGGTTAATGACATACATGCTGAATGTTACTGTCTTCAATTTACTCTGTGTATAAAAATAATAAGGATGGGTGGAGGAATGGAAAGATGGATTATGTGATAAGTATAGTAAAATGCTCATGGTAGAATCTAGGAGATGGGCATATGCATATTAACTGTAAAACTGTTTATACTTTTCTGTCCGTTTGAACATTTTTATACAATGAGTGGTCAGATTATTATGATCTCTGAATGCATAATAATCTGGCCATTCAATATGTCTATGTATGTGTGTGTGTGTGTGTGTGTGTGTGTGTGTGTGTGTGTGTATGTGTGTGTGTGTATGTATACACATACATATATATATTACAAGTCAAGTATATGAATTCGTGCATGGGTGGGGTCCAGTCAGCCTTGCCAGGGAGAGGGGACATGGGTGGTTGGCCGGTCTGCCAGCTGGTTGAACTCCTGGTCAAGGGGACAATTTGCATATTAGTCTTTTATTATATAGGATATACACTAAGTGGCCAGATTATTATGCGTTCAGAGATCATAATAATCTGGCCACTCAGTGTATATTGAAGAAAAAAATCTAAAAAAGAATGGATATATGATGACAATGGAATAAGACAGCAGAGATAAGAATGAGAATGGTAAGATAGTAAAAAAAATGGACTTAGGAACATACTTGGGGGGGGGGAAATGGACTTAGGAACATACTTTTGGGACCTACTCTGTTCATAGTTGGAAGAATTTCCATATTATTTGTAACAAATCTATTACAACCTTTAATCAGGTTTGAGTAGATACTATAAAAAAGAAAAAAAAACCCTCAAAATCCTAACTCTTTGAAATGCTTTATTAAATTTATCATAAAGAAAAAGTATAGCCCTAGATGGTTTGGCTCAGTGGGTAGAGTGGTAGCCTGTGGTCTGAAGGGAGGGTCCTGAGTTTGATTCCCGGTCAAGGGCACATGCCCAGGTTGTGGGCTAGATCCCCAGTGTGGGGCGTGGAGGAGGCAGCTGATCAATGATTATCTCTCATCATTGATATTTTTATCTCTCTCCCCCTTTCTGAAATCAATAAAATAATATATTTTAAAAAAGTATAAAGTGTATCATATTCCTGTATGAAGAGGCAGTATTTAATACCATTATTTTATTCTACTACAGCAAAATATTTATACACATATTTATTACCACTAGCCCATGCTTTCCTAAAATCTGTTATTTATGTCTTAGTTAGAAATCAGCAAGATTCATTGAAAGTTCCAACTATTTTAGGCATATTTTATCTTGCTATTAATAAAAATGTAGGTGTTGTTTTACTTGCGCAGTAATTTTGCACGTAATATTCTTGATAGACATTCTTTGTACAACTGTGTGTATATTTCTAAGTAAAAATGAAAAAACTGCTTCCTCAGGGTAAATCTGTGGAAGTCTGGACAGCTGCTGAACACACTTAACAAAAGTAGATGTATCTTATCTTTTTTTTAAAAATTATTTTTTTTACATGTTCCCACAGGTTGAGAACCGCTAGCAGGGTCGCCTAAGACCATCAGAAAACACAGATATTTACATTACAATTCACTAACATTAGCAAAATTACTGTTATGAAGTAGCAACGAAAATAATTTTATGGTTGGGGGTCACCACAGCATGAGGAACTAACTGTATTAAAGGGTTGCAGCATTAGAAAGGTTGAGAACCACTGTCTTAAAAGATAAAATTTAGGCCCTAATTAAAACAATAAATGAATACTGTTAGGCCGTTTTATTTCATTTACATAATCATAAAGGACTCGATCATTTCTTTCAGGTCATTTCACATAATTAACAAATCTCTGATATTTACAGAGAATGTACTGGCTTTTGATTGTAATTCAGCCAACATTCAATCATTGTGGATATCAGAAAGAAGCCTTTATCTCTTCAAAAGCAGTGATGATTTACAAGATACACAAATATGCAAAGATTCACAGAATTTAAGAATTTCATTAAATTACTAGGTAAGCGTTTGTAAAACAATGCCATTGTAAATTTTAGCAACAGTAACAGTATAAAATGTTTTTTAAGAAAACAACCATTCTGTGAAGAAATGTTCTTCATAAGAGTAAAGAAAGGTATTCAAGCCAGTGCAGATCAATTCAGAATTAACTTCTAAAATGAGTTAAAATGTCCTTTTTCTATTATAGTTTAGTCACCAATATTCAAAAAGCAAGAAGAGGGCAAAGTAAGAAAGAGTCCAACATGTGGATACTTTCCCCCAAATAACTAAGAGTTAACTACAATTACTTACAGGTTCTGGGTCAAATCCTGTCTGTCCAGTTAACTCTGCCATTGCCTTTTCATCGTAATCATCCAGTTCAAGGGGGTTCATGGGCCCCAGACCTTAATAGAAACATCATGTCTTATTATTTTGTTAAATGAAAATGGCATTAAATGACCTTTTAGAGAAAAACTCACCCATTCCCCTTTGTAATCCTAATATATAAAAACAGGGTAACATCCAAAACAATCAAAGGCTGGGCTGACCGGAAGTCCGTCCTGCAGTCAGTGCTGGGTTACCGTGGTGACCCAGCACTGACTACCATCGCTGCAGACACAGTGACCCAGCATTGAGGATCAGGTCCGGAGAGAGGCCTGGAGAGAAGCAGGGTCTGATCCGTAGCCTCCGTGGCAGCTGTTGATCAGCCCTTGCCTCTCTAATCAGGCCCAGAGATACTGACTGGCATAGAAACTGACCAATCAGAACCAAATCTGGGTGAACTGTGAGAAGCCTATGGCTGCTTAGGAGTTGGAACTTCTGTTACTGACTGGCATAGAAACAGACCAGTCAGAACCTAATCTGGGTGAACTGCTAAGGCAGAACCTAAGGTGGGGCTGAGGAGGGGTTTTAAGGGCAACAGCTGTTTGGTATAAAGTATAAGAAAGTGATTCAATTTTTTAATGACTGGTTTGGCAGTATAGTGCATATACGCTATCAGTCCAGATATAGGGATTATGTATTTTTGTCTGCTATGAGCATCTCCTCCTGCTAAGAAAGCCTCCCCCCCCCCAATTTAAGCAATGCTATCCTATATAATCTATCCATACTATTAATTTATACTAATAAAAGGGTAATATGCTAATTAGACTGGGTTGACCGGCCATCTTCTGGATGTCTGACTTCCTTCTGGACAAAGCCATGATGGTGGGGCTGAGCCAGAGGCAGTTGGGGGTGAGATCGGGCCAGCAGGGGAGGCAGGTAGGGGTGATCAGGCAGGCAGAGGCAGTTGGGGGCAGTCAGGCTGGCAGGGGAAGGCAGCTGGGGGTGAGATCAGGTCAGCAGGGAAGGGCAGTAAGGGGCAATCAGGCAGGCAGGCAGGCGAGCAGTTAGGAGCCAGTGGTCCCAGATTGTGAGAGGATGTCTGACTGCTGGTTGGACATCCCCTAAGGAGACCCCGATTGGAGAGGGTGCCCCTGAGGGAACCCCACCCTGTGCATGAATTTCGTGCACCGGGCCATTACTATAATTAGAACAATAAAATGAAAACCAACTTTACCTCCCAGTTCCTGCTAAGAGAAACTGACCACCCATCTTAATTTCTATTGGTTCTTTAGATTAAGAAACAGGGGGGCCTATTAGATGAAAGCTTTTATCAGCATTTGTCCATGATCTAATTATGTTCGTTTTACTTGTATTAAAGTGAACTCGTACCTGTGAAATCACGATTGTATGAATTGACCCAGTGGGACCGCTCAATATTTCTTTGTATGTTGGCCTCTTTTTCAGAGTTAATAGAATCCCATGGATTTAAAGAAGTGTTAGGAGCGAAGGTTTTAGGAGGTTTGGGGTAGAATACTGGCTTGTTTTTCTCAACACCTTTAGGAAACTAGAATATGAACATAAAAGATTATTATAATTAATGTCATATAGTAGAATAAGAGCTGATTCACAATAAACAGTGGCTATTATTTTTATTTTTTAAAAACATTTTTATTGATTTCAGAGAGGGAGATAGATAGAGAGAGAGAGAGAGAGAGAGAGAGAGAGACAGAGAGACAGAGAGACAGAGAGAGAGAGAAACATCAATAATCAGAGAGAATCGTCAATTGGCTGCCTCCTGCACACCCCCTATTGGAGACTGAGCCCACAACCTGGGCATGTGTGCTTGACTGGAATCAAACCTGGGACCCTTCAGTCCTCAGGCTGGTGCTCTATCCTCTGAGCAAAACTGGCTAGGGCTATTTTATTTTTGATTCTACACAAATATAATGGTTTGGACAATCAATTGCAAATTTTGCTGAAAATCCCTCATTTACTCTATGCATATTTGGAGTTACTTAATATAGTTTAAATCATAAGAATAGAGTTGGGGGACACACAGTAAATGAAATACAGTCCTCTTCCACTTTTTTGTAGGTGGAACCTTATTTTGATAATTGTAGAAATGTTACATAACTGCCCAAGCTATCTGAAATCAGCTAAGAAAACAACAAAAAATGTGAATCCTGGTCAAAATTTCAAAATTTTCACCTAGATAGAATATAAAAATATTCCATCTTTTGGACTCGTAGAAACATAGAGAATAAAAACATTTTCACTTTGTTTTAAACACACATTAAAAATACTTACATCATAATACACACCCTGACCTGGCCAAATCAAGGCTTTCTTCTTTGAATCCATAGGAACATCAACCAGTTCATGTCTGTAAGGATTACCTGGAATTTTCAGGGCAAGCACTGTTATTCTGAATATATAAGAACAATCTTCTAATTCATGGGATTTATGGATGCAGTAAATAGAAACAAGACATTATGAGGTGGAGAGAAATGCAGGTGCACATCTTAGCTATATAGTTATAGCTTGCTTTGACTTCTTAACCTCCTTCTCCGTAAGGGCCACACAGACTGAGAATGACTCTCTAGTCATAGTGCTCCCAGTGATAGGAGGGGGGATTGTATTTTACCTATCTTTGTTAATGAAAGGAATTTTTAGGTAAATTATAAATCTTCCTGGATCCTCTTTCTGGTTTAGCAAATATAATTCTAAACTACCTGTTTTGGCTTTTCCCTGACGAAATATCAAGAAATGGAGTTAGTACTTGATTACCAGAAAGGTATTGGAAGAGAAGATCTTAATAAAACTTCCTAGGCATTGGAGGTAGTGTTCACCCCATATCTGTTGGGAATATGTGAGGTTGAGGATAGTAAGGAACTTCCTATATGATATGTTTTTTTCAGGCTGATAACGCAGATGCCTTCTAAGTGACTCATGAATGGGTGGCACCATACAGCACGGACACGCAGGACAAGGAGATGGTTTATGTCAGGGTGGGACATTGGGAGAGTTCATCACCCTCCTTAATGGCATGCAGTTTCAAACTTACAAACTGTTTGTTTTCGGAATTTTCTATTTAATATTTTCAGACCATCATTGACAGCAGTAATAAATATAGTGATTGCTAAGACTTATCTCTATTACCTATGAAGTAGGCACTGATATTCCTGTTTTATAGATTGAGAAGTGAAGGAAACTGTTCCGTGGTCTACGGTGAACAAGTGGCAGAGCCAGGATTCTAACTCTGCAGTCTGACTCCATAGTCCCTGCTGTTAAACATTCCACTGTAATATTTCTCAAAATGTTACTGTCTCCTATAAGGTACTGAGGTTGATAGTAATGGCAGTATCTGTTCTTATATTTGGGTTTAATTATTCATGTACAGAGGACCTGAATTACAAGACAGTTCTTGGGTCTTGCCGTCCTCACAGCCCAAATTCATTCAACAAGTATTTATCTCTGCCTACCGTGTTACCTTTTCTGTCGCCTTCAGTCTTTTGCCGTAGGTTTCTTCTCTGTTTTGAGGTGTCTAGTATGGGATAGACTTGAAGACTAGTGTATGGGCTTACCATCCTCTATAGTAAAACTAAGATGGGAGACCCCAATGTCTGCATCTGTGATGAAATGCTCCAGGTGTTAAAAGGCACTGACCAAACTGCTCCCATCACTTTCTGAGTCCTGTTTCAATGAGGGCCTTTCACTTTCTTTTTATTTATTTATTTACTTACTTATTTATTTTTACATATTTTATTGATTTTTTACAGAGAGGAAGGCAGAGAGAGCTAGAAACGTTGATGAGAGAGAAACATTGACCAGCTGTCTCCTGCACACCCCCCACTGAGGATGTGCCCACAACCAATGTACATGCCCCTGACCGGAATCGAACCCGGGACCTTTCAGTCTGCAGGCCAACGCTCTACCACTGAGCCACACCGGTTTTGGCGAGGACCTTTCACTTTCATCATGGCTGCTATATCCCTGAACCCACCACTGTCCCTTGTGCTGATGACCTGAGCTAAGGTGGAGTTTTAAAAAGCTAAGCCATAGGAGAGAGCAAAAGGAAATAAAAACAAAATGTGAGTAGAATAAAAACAACCAATTCTATAACGTTTGTTTCTGATCCTGTCATGGGAGGTTCTGTATAAAGTAGCAAAGTTAAGGGCATCGGCAAAGATTCTGATTTAATTGTCTGTGGCAAGGTCCCAGCTGATTCTAAAGTGCATCCATAGTTGAGAATACCTTTCTGATGGTCACACTTTTGTGATTTGAGTCCTTTGCCCTACTTTCTTTAATTTTATTATTGGATAAACTCAAAATATAAGAAAAATTAGTACTGTTCTGATTTTAAATTACATTTTACCTTTTGTCTTCAAAATCAGTGTATCATAAGGCTTCGTTGGCACAGTGGGAGGAAATGGCTGGTGGCTTCGGGCGTTAATGCCAGTGTAGCGATCCTTAGGTGACGTAAAGGTTGGGAACATGGCACCTCGACAGATGTGTGTGTGATAGGGATGTTCAACTGGGTACGGGGAGTAGATTTCACTGAGATTTAGTTGAGCCAACAAAACAAAACAAAACAAAACAGAATAGAAGTGCAGTTTTAAAAAATTAATCGCCAAATATGTATTGGAGCTCTTCTTTTGAAGGTACTGTACTAAACCCAAGCTTGCAGGGTCAATCCCGAGTCAGAGCACATATGAGAATCAACCAGTGGTTGCATAAATAGGTGGAACAATGAACCGCTGTTTCTCTTTCTCTCTTTCCCTCAAGTCAGTCAGTCAATCAATCAAATATTTGTAAGACAAAAAATCTGAACTCCAGGCAAGTCATTTATGAGGCCAATCAGCTCTTTTTTTGTTTGTTTGTTTGTAAAGGGATTTGGTTTTCTTGCCCTTGTCATAAACTCTCTCACCTGAACATATTTTTGAATTGGGTATAGCATTATTTTATTGCTGATCATTAAAACTTTTCCAATTTACTTACTTTGCTTAAAAAGTGCCACATCAACTACTACACAGGGCACAAGGTTGTCAACTTGAATGATATGGGAAGAGAATCAGGACATTCTTAAATTCCAAATGACTGACATTCCTCAGAGTCATGACAATTAGTTTAGTAACTGCTCTTTCAATGAAGCATATTGACTCTTTCATTTTATTTACTATACTTTTGTTATAAATAAATATTTCCAGTGTCAAATTCAGTGGGTTCCATAGTAAACCATTCCCCTTAAATTAATTTCCTCTCTAAAATCTACTAGAAAATAAGTAAGCATTTATAATTTGAGCAAACTGTGTGAGTAAAGTAGGAATGGACACATCCATGCTCACGGAGAGTGTCCAATCTACTTGAGTGAGGAAAGGATGTAGTTTACTGTGGTCTAGTACAAAGCCCGTGTCCTGCCTGGCTGGTGTAGCATAGTGATTGGATGTCGACCTATGAACCAGGAGATCATGGTTCAATTCCTGGTCAGGCCATGCGCCCAGTTTGTGGGTTGATCCCCAGGGTGGGGCTTGCAGGAGGCAGTTGATATTCTCTCTCATCAATGGCGTTTCTATCTAACTCTCCCTTCCTCTCTGAAATCAATACAAATTTATTTTTAAAAAAGTAGAGATTACTCATTACTTTAGAAAGTAAGTTTTAAGGGCCAAGAACATGTAAAATTACAACAAAAGAACTACAAGAATTCCATAAGCCATTTCTGGGGAGTGGTCTCCTTGATAGGAAGTAAATTTGCAAAATGTGTGTGTAGTTCTCGGAATTTTCTGGTTTTGCTTGTGGCTAGGATTTTGGCTTCATAAAGAAGGGGTAAAAGGTGGGAGTTAGGAAGGCAGGGCAGAAATTTCTTCCTCTTTAGAGTCCAGAAATGTATATTTCCTAGCAAATAGTATTAAGTTATATCTCATAATAATTTAGGAAGAGGTTATGGACTCTATGTGCTGCGAGTCTATATATGTTATGAGATTTCATTCAATATATTGCAAAGGTTATATTTGTTAAAAAAAATTTGCAAAATTATACCTGCTACTAAATTTTCAGGTTTTATCCCACTCAGGTTTTAAATACAACAGTATTAAATGACCAGAATGTATTTTTATTCCTCTAAGGCAGTGTTTCCCAAAATTTGACATATGTGTACCCATTCTATAATTTTCGTAATGCTGAGTACCCCTCGTACTCATGAGAACGGAGAATTAGGTGCAGCTAAGCACGGTGCAGTGCCTATCCCCACTAAACTCAGGTGCAACGCATACCCCCACCAAACTCTTCCCGTACCCTTGGGGTACGCGTACCACACTTTGGGAAACACTGCTCTAAGGAATAAAATATTATGCAGAAAACATTATGTTCCTGGTTATGTTAAATTATTTATAAAGGTTACTGAAACACAAAAAGAACCTTAGGGGGGAAATTGAGAAAATCTGAGTAATGTATGGACTTTATTTTTTATTTTATTTTTATATTTTATTGATTTTTTACATAGAGAAAGGGAAAGGGACAAAGAGTCAGAAATATCGATCAGCTGCCTTCTGCACCCTCCCACTGGGGATGTGCCCATAACCAAGGTACATGCTCTTGACCGGAATCGAACCAGGACCCTTCAGTCCACAGGCCGAAGCTCTATCCACTAAACCAAACCGCTTAGGGCTGAAATATGGATTTTAGTTAATAGTAATGCATTGATATTTGGCTCATTCATTGTGACAAATGGACCATACTAATGTAAGATGCTAATAACAGTAAAAACTGGGTATAAGGTATATAGGAACTCTCTCTACTGTTTCCCAATCATTTTGTAAATATAAAACTATACTAAAAAAAGTTAGTTTAAAAAAAAGACTAGCAGGCATATAATTGGGGGAAGTCAATGATACTCAAACTTTGGGCTTGTATCAGTCTCTCCCATATTCATGAAAAGTCTCATTTGTCCCCACACTAAGACATATGGTACCTACTCCTAAGACCAATACTCTTTTTCCTTGATTAGAATAGAGAAGGCCTTGGTTAGAGCATCATCCAATATGCTAGGGTTGCAGGTTTGATGTCTGGGCAGGGCACATACAAGAAGCAACCAATGAGTGCATAAGTAAGTGGAACAAGAAATTAATGTTTCTCTCTCTAGAATCAATACATTAAGAAAAACAAAAGAACAGAGAAGGGAAATATAAGTGTATACTTACCCTACTGCTGAATTAGGTGGTTTCGGCAACCTAAAATAAAAACAGGAAACAAATCCTAAGTTATATTAAGGACTTTTTAAAGCTTATATTTCTATTAAAAACTTGCTTAAGAATAAAGAAGTATCCAAATTTATTTTAAGAAAAAATAGATATTTTATTGACTTTTTTACAGAGAGGGAGAGTTAGAAACATTGACGAGAGAGAAACATCAATCAGCTGCCTCCTGCATACTACTACTGGGGATGTGCCCACAATCTAGGTACATGCCCTTGACTGGAATCGAACCTGGGACCCTTGAGTCTGCAGGCCCGATGCTCTATCCACTGAGCCAAACCGGTTAGGGCGGAAGTATCCAATTTTCCAGCTACAGTGTCTTTTATATAATATTGACTTTATAATATCTTGATTGACTTTCTGGAACAATGAATAGCTGACCAGAGACATATGATGTTATCCTATCTCAGTTGTCTATTGATCAATTTTTTACCATTCTGATTACTTTCTAATTTCAGTCCTATTAAACACCCGTTGCGCATCTTATTTGCAATGCAGGTAGGAATGATGCTTGTAATGATAACAGAGCTCTTGTTCTTATTGACATTCACCCTCCCAGACAAGCAGGAGCGAGTGCTCTCTCTCAGGCAGCCTGCCACCATGCATGTGGTATGATTCCATGACCTGAAGTGCCCTGAGTGTGACTCGTGTGTGCTTTGTCCTTTTGCCCAGGACTGCTGAGCTCTCCACTGACAGAGAGGCTAGAACAAAACTGAACAAGATACTGGAGGTCCGCCTTTTCTGAATCAGTTCATTTGAAGTTTGTGTATTTACTAAATATGCTGAGCCCTGCATACCAAGAAGTGATAAGGCAGCCCAGGAACAAAGTTCACACTAGGCCAGGATTGTCATCCACTCTCATTGGGTTCCAGCAGTTAGTTTCAAACTATGCCAACATTTCTAAATATTGCAGGTGTGAAAAGTGAACAGAACGTTAGGCAGTCAATAGTAAAGATCAGTAAAGTTGAGTATACTCCTAATTTTTTATGTCTTTCTATTTAGGAAATGGTATATTAGTCATATAATTTTATAGGTCTGTATTATAAACACATGATTCATATGAACTAAAACATGTTTATGCCATTCTTTATCTGGACTCTAAATTTGTGGGTTTGGAACTTAAAAAACAAACAATCATGTCTTATCTTCCGGTTATATTTCTGGCTGAGTTGGGGAACAGGGGGCAATGAATATAATAATTGAAGGGATCTAGTTAGTAGATTGGCTATTATTTGTGAAACATTAAGTCAGCATGTAAAATTTTTCTCATGTGACACATTTAGCGATGACATGGACAAGTATGTGCCTAAAATTGATTTGATTCAAAACGGAAACATTTTTTTTAAAGAAAAAGGAAAGCTTCTAAACGACAATCCTCAAAGTTTGAAAATAAAGTGAATGAGCCCTAGCTGGTTTGGCTCACTGGATAGAGCATCGGTCTGGGGACTGAAGGGCCCAGCTTCGATTTCAGTCAAGGGCACATGCCCAAGTTGTGGGCTTGATCTCCAGTAGGGGATGTGCAGGAGGCAGTCAATCAATGATTCTCATCACTGATGTTTCTATCTTTCTCTCCCTCTCCCTTCCTCTCTGAAATCAATAGAAATATATTTTTTTTAAAAGAAAAGAAAATATTCTCAGAGACACCAATTCCTTGACCTGAATCAGCCATACTCTTACCTACTTTTCAAAGTTAACTAATCCCAAAGAGATAAACAGGGCCTCCTAACCACAAATATGTCTTATTGGCTCCCTCTTGTGGCTAGACTCTATATTAACTTCTTACCCAGAAATAGATTCCTAATCTGTTACAGGCAAAGAAGAGATAGTACTTTCAGTTACTTCAATACTGTCATTGTTTTATTTTTATTTGAAAATTAAAAAGTATGATTTTGTCTTGTATACAACCAACTATTTCCAAGAGTAAAAAATAATTACTATTTATTCCTTAACTAAAAGAGATTTAAGGAATGGTCTTATTAAGACTTATTTGTAGATTATCATAATGAATGTCTCATAAAATTCCAGTTAAAATTTTTGAGGGCACTTAACATTTTCTGTGAACCTTTAAAGAAATGTAACTTTTGTATCAGATTGAGTAACGAGGTCATAAACAGGGACATGGACCAAAGAGGCCTATTTAAATCCCTTTGAGCATTATAATCTATATTTCCTATTTTTTTCTAATATTGTTTAAATATTAGAATCAGTGGGTTTAGGTTTATTTGTTTTATTTTTGTTATTTGTTTGGTCTTGATTTCTATCATTAATGATCTCTATAAAAAAAAGGAACACTTGTATTTTCTAAAAGTTCCCATTTTGGTTTTTTCTTTTTAAGCATTTCTCATATAACTCATTTTCATTTAAAAAAATGTTATTTGGCCTTGCTGGTGTGGCTTAGTGGTTGAGTGATGATCTAAGAACCAGGAGGTCAGGGTTTGATCCTCTGTCAGGGGACATGCCCCAGTTGCGGGCTCCCTTCCCAGCAGGACGTGTGCAAGAGGCAGTCAATCATTGGTTCATTCTCATCATTGATGTGTCTATTTCTTCCTCCCTCTTCCTTCATCTATGAATTCAATCTATTTATATTAAAGCCTAAATGACTATTATGACTGGATGACCGGCCAGTAACTATGACATGCACTGACCACCAGGAGCAGACGCTCAATGCAAGAGCTGCCCCTAGTGGTGTGTGCGTTTCCACAGCCAACCTCCCATGGTCCCTCCCCACAGCCAGTGGGCCCAGATCAGCCCGATCAGGACTGGGTGAGACAGCCCTGATCGATCGCCAGGCCGAGGGCACCCCTCCACCCGTGCATGAATTTGTGCACCAGGCCTCTAGTACAAATGTAAGAAAATGTTATTTGAATTCACATAAGAAAAAGAAACCCCAAACTTACAAAGAATCATTTCCATAGATGTCACTTTTTCTGTTCTGTGTCAAATGATAGAACTGTTCAACAGGAAGCCTTCTGAAAAGAAAGAAAAAATTAAATTGAACATTTTTCCAAATTAACACAGTGTAACAGTGAGGCAGGAAAAGACAAAAAGCAAACAGACTAATACAGCCATGTGTTAGGAAAGCCAGTATGTGAAAAGGTGGCTTTTTATTTTATTATTTTATTGTTTAATCTTCACCTGAGGACATGCTTAGAGAGAGAGAGAGAGAAACATTGATTGGTTGCCTTCCATATATGCCCCAAATGGGGACTGAACCCACAGACCAGGTATGTGCCCTGATCAGGAATTGAACCAGCAATTTTAAGGTACACAGGCTGATGCTCAAACAACTGAGTCATTCCAACTGGGCAAAACGGAGGCATTTTAAGTCAGTGGAGGATGATTTATTTTCAGTAAACAATGCAGAAAAATTCAATAGCTATTTGGAAAAAAATATATTTCATATTACTCACAAAGGTAGTTTCAAATGGATTAAAAGTCCAAAGCACTAGGAACAACATACAATTATTAAGATAAAGTATACAAGAATTCATTTTTTTTCCTTGGTGGTAGGAAAAATATTTAAAATAATATTTTTCTTTTAAAAGTCAAAAACCAAAAGGAAATACAATAATATGAAACAAAAAACTTGAAGTCAGGACAGCACAAAAAGTTCAAATAAACTTTTGGAGTCCTGGCTGGTGTGCCCCAAGAGGTCACCAGTTCAATTCCTTGTCAGGGCACATGCCTGGGTTGCAGGCTCCATCCCTGGTAGGGGGCATGCAGGAGGCAGCCAAGCAATGTTTCTCTTTTTCCCTCTTCCTTCCTCTCTCTCTAAAAATCAACAAAAACATATTTAAAATACAAAACAAAACATAGACTGGAAGAAATACTTGCAATAAAGGTATGTAAAGGATTAATATCCAGAACATAAAGAACTAATAAAATCTATAGCTAAAAGATAAACAATAAAAATGGAGAAAAAATAAGAACAGAAAAAAGGAAATGTAATGGCTAATCAGAGAAATGCATTCCGATAACCAAGATACTTATTAAATGGGCAAAAATTATAGTTTGATACTATAATACAGTTGGGCAAGAGCGTGGAGAAAGGAGTACTTTTAGCCACTACCAAGAGAATATAAAGCATTTGAGGTCTATCTACTAAAATTGTGTATGAGCTCAAACTGGCCTGTACAAACATATTCATTAACTATAGTTAATGCAAAAAAATTTATGAGACTGGCTAAGTAATCTATGATGTATTTATGCTGCAGAACACTGAGAAGTTAAAAAGAACGAGATTGATCTGTATTTATAATCTCTAGATTATATAGAGATAAAAAGAACTAACTTACCTAATATTATATATCAAATGTATCCACATATAAAATAATACCATATATTTTCAACGGGTGCCTATATAATTCTGTAAACTAAAGTATGAAAGGAGGTGCAGGGTAGTGGTGACTGCAATTCTCTCCAGGAAGGAGACTGGGATTGGTGGGGTGGTGGTCAAAAGAGATTGGACCTTTTAGATTTTTTTTCCAGGTTCACAACAGTGTAGAGAGGAAGTTTTTAGACAGGCATCCTGTCTTTGGGGAAACTACTTATTGGTAATTGGTTTAGAGCACATGCCACACTTTTTAGGACAACACTGAGCCATAACTGAATAGTATTTCACACTACTCAAAAAGATAATTTCTGATGGGTTAAAAATCTAAGGAAGTGAGAGAAATACATAAATGTTAAAATAAAATAGACAAGAATGTATTTTTTTCTTGATGGTAGGAAAAATTTTTTACATACGATTTTTCTTTTAAAAGTCAAAAACATCTATTAGTTGCCTCCCACAACTAACTGCCCTGAGCAGGAATTGAACCCGTGACCCTTAAGTGTATGAGAGGAAGCTCTAACCTAGCCACACCTGCCAAGGAGGCAAGGGTTGAATTTAAAAGGTGCGCTGATCCTACCAGATTTGCAGATGGTAGAACAGCCTATGGGAGAGTCAGTTATGGTTCAGTGTTGTCCTCGAGTGGCACATGCTCTGAACCACTGACCAGTAGTTTCCCCCAATGACAGAATGCCTGGCCTAAAACACACAAGGGTGTAAGTGGGAGCTGCCTCTGACTGTTTTCTTTCTGTTACACTTGAGAGCTAAATTTTACTTCCTGCACAGCCCCTTGGGCTATGCTGGTTTAGAGGTCAAGAGAGCAGTGCTTCCTTCAAGAGAACACAACAGTGGTCCCAGTGAACTGGAAGTTGAACTGATGATGTGGTAATTGGGGCTCCTTTTGACTCTGGAGAAAACAGGGAAGACAGGACTGTACCAAACAGGCTGGGATGGTTGATCCTTCACAGGAAGGGCAAGAGGACTGCTGCTATACAATGAATGGGGGAAAGGAGTCTTTCTGGACATAAATAATCTTTGGATGCCTCCTACTATTGCTTCCAGAGGCATAGAATTAGTGGGATACTATAGCAGCCTCACCCTAAGAGCTTAGATCTCTCAGGAACAGAATCTGGCGTTGTCCCACCAGGTAATGAACTACCAGCTCATGTATTGGCTGAGGGCAAGGGAACTTGGAATGGGTAGCGGAGGAAGGAAATTATAACACAAATTATAACACAAATTATAGTCACAGCCCATATTTTCTTCCTTGTTGTGTCCTATATATACTTTTATATATTAACCTATTTTTACTTTTTCCTTATTATTCCATATAGGGTGTGCTGGTGATAGGTTTATTAAATGCATACATGTGGACCATCGTGACAAGATTATGGCTGATCTAGACAGGAGTGAATGTACAGAGAGATCCTACACGTGGAGCTGCATGCAGGAACTGATGAAACCTTTGGGGAGGTGAGCACGTTTTCATTTGTCTACTTTTTATTGCTTTACTTGGGCTTTGAAACTGTCATTGGCCACCACATGTTCCTGTTGCTACTGTTTCTCTCTCTAGCTGTGACTTGTCTTTCCTAATTTAACTGCTTTAGAACAACAAGCTAGTTAGCTAGATTGTTGGTAAACTAGGTAACCGAGATTGTTAGAGAAAGCGGGAGTAAGTAAGCTGTGTGTGAAGGTTTGGTTTGATGGATTTTATTTTTAATAAATTTCATAATTTTTAGCAAATAATTCATGTGACATTATATTTACTGTTCAGATTTATCTTTGCTTTCTCTTCAATTTTAATCCGTTTTACATAAAGTTGCTGAGTGACTTTAAGATTTATAAATGATTATTGAGATATCTTAATAACTGAAAACAATGCCCAATAGATTCTAATAACTACAGATTCATGAACAAATTAAAAATCAAAAGTTCCAAAAATTCAAGAACATCTGTATACATTAGGCCAGCTATTTGCTCAAGCAAAAACGTTTTTAATTAACTCTCAGGATATTCCCATTTAGTTTTAAAATGAGATTAGCAAGGGAATTAAATTAATCAAAATTTCTGATAATAATACTTGAACATCTCTTAAGGACAGTAGACATCCATAAAAACCGATTTTTTTTTTTTTTTTTTTTTACTGACTTCACAATTAGATATTATATAATTAGTTTTTCCATCTGTGTCTTCTTATAAATAGTCAAAGAAATAAGTCTGGAGACAGATTTAAATTAGAAAGGGCTCACAATAGAAATAAAGATGAGTAATAAATACCTCTGTGTGAAAGGCAGAAACTTACTTACCTTGGCCAGGTATCTCCACCAAACCCATAGTGCTGATGTCCCTTGCCCATGGCATGGGGAGGTTCCCCTTTTGGCCTGTGTTCTTCAGGGAGTGAGATGGGTACCATCCCACCATATTCCTTGTCGGCTCCCCATGGATGCCTGTGTTGTTGGAGCGACTCCCTCATTTGCTGATACCTGTGAAAAAAGAGAGATTTTTAAAATAGCTTCAGTGTGGAATACCATGGTCCGAATGTCTGTGTCCCCCCAAATTCTTATGTTGAAATCCTCATGCCCAATGTGGTGATATTAAGGAGGCCCCACCTAGGAGGTGGCTAGGTCATGAAGGCGAAGCCCTCAGGAATGGGACGAACATTCTTATAAAAGAGACCCAGAGAGCTTGCTAGCTTTTCCGCCTTGTGAAGATGCAGCAAGAGGGTGCCAGTGGTGACCAGCAAGAAGGCTCTCACCAGAACATGAGCCTGCTGGTGCCACGGTCCTGGACTTCCAGCCTCCAACACTGTGAGAAACACACGTTGGTTGTTTAGGAGTTACCCAGCTACCTCGTCTGTGGTCGCTGGTTAGAGCTGCACAAATGGCTAGGACAGACAACTAAAATTCCTATAGCTTCAAAACTGTTTTTAGATTATATCTTCAGATTACAGAATTCTCAGTGCTGGGTAGATGATGATAGAGACTGGTTACTTAGGCATCATTGGACTGCTGAGGGAATGAGGTTAAATTCCTGAGGGCTTACAGATTATCTGTGTGTTATGCTTTTTTTTCAACCATAGTTGTAGCATGTATGCTTACATGTTCTAAAAGTTTTTATTGAGCTATAACTCACATGCCATATAATTCATCCATTTAAAGTGTACAATTAAGTTGTTTTTAGTGGATTCACAAATATGTCACTTTGCAGAAATTTGAACATTACATTCCAATCTTAGGCGGCTTAATTCAGTCAGCAGTGATTACTGGAAGGCATGATTAAAGGAAAGTTCAGAACAAAGATACTTTAATTTTTAGTTGGCAGAGTGCTAATAGTCAAAAAATATTTAGTAATCGGAAAGCAATGGAATGAATCCAGAAACAAAATGGGAACGTATAATGAAATCTGAAGCAATTATCAAGGCACTTCCTTAATTAATATGTTTGTCTCCCTAATGAGCTAGACAACTTGCTACAGCAAGCATGTCAAACTTGCGGCCCGCGGGCCGCTTGCAGCCCACAACGAATATCTTTGCGGCCCACCCAATATAACGGTGTATCAGAAACATTTTAATAAGAATTTTGTTACTTAATTTTTACAATGTCCTGTTATACGTAATTGTTAATGACGAACTACAGCATTCATTAATGACTGATTACTATAATCATACTGAATTCATTTCCCTTACATGCCATACATGCATACACCGTTTCTCTCCACTAATACTAGCAGTGAATATTTTAGCAGCTGATGGCCACATCATTAGTCTTGGACTGACTTGTTTGGTGTGGACAACAGGAAACGTTTCGCTTTCGGAGAACAAGAAAAATAGGTTTAATTGCGATATGCTGATTAATTTGTGCAGTTATTCAGTGTCTGGGAAGTTAATGTTCAAGAAAAAATATTACTTTTTATTAAAACGTTCTATTTTATGTTAACGATTACTCATTTATTTCAGCTCTTTGTATTCAGTATGTCTCTATCAAAATAAACTTATACTTCTATGAAAATTGAAGCTATCTTTTTTTGTTGTTGTTGTTTTTTTTTTTTGCGGCTCACATAAACTTAAGCCATGTTTATTTGGCCCTTAGCCTTTGAGTTTGGCATGCTTGTGCTAGAGATCAAAAGATGTCAACTGAATGGAAAAAGGATATAGACATCTGTGATTCTTAATAGCTGTACCTATCATTCTTAAATTTTCATCAATCAGCTGCCTCCTGCACACCCCCTCCTGGGGATGTTCCCATAACCAAGGTACATGCCCTTAACTGGAATTGAACCTGGGACCCTTGACTCCACAGGTCGATGCTTTATCCACTGAGCCAAACCATTTAGGGCCAATCAGTGTTCTCTTGATGACATTTTCCAGAGCAGTTCCAAATAACAACATTGAGAGGAAAGCCAACTTCTCATTCTGTAAGCTGCCCAGCTGATTCTTAAGAAGGAGTTAACAGGAGGGGTTCTGAGAATATGTGATCATCCTGACTTTCCCACTTAGGAACTATGAAAGGAAAGAAGTCCATGGAGTAAAAGAGAAAGCATGTTTTAGTAATTAGAAGCCAGGAACATGTGTTTAATTTTATAATCAGTTAACAAAAAGCAATTACTTTCTCAAAGATGCTTCTCTTACATTTCATCCAGTTAAAGGGTTTGGGAGCCGATTATAAATCAACCATAAGATCATTCAGATAGAAGGAACCAGTGAAAAGCCTTAGAGGAGTATTTTTGAGGGGATAAAAATCAATCAGATTAGGCAGCCCTAAATTCCTACTCCGAAACCTTTTGGCCAAGGATAAAACCTCACAATGCTGCTTTTGAGCCAGGGTCAACTGCTCATCCCCAGATCACACATGATCTGCTAACGGTTCTCCGTGCCTCAGGGGAAGAAGCGCTGTCTCATCTGATGGCCCTTGGAGCTGAGAAGGAATTTGGAGCTGACAACCACTTTTTGGAATCAGGTTAATAGTAGAAAAGAAGGTACAGCAAGGACTACCTCAGTACAAGTGAGCTGAGCCCTCTTTCCACAAATGTGACAATATTCCTTTTCATTTAGGGAAAGTAGTTTACAAAAAAACACATTGAATATGATCTTTAAATTTTAAAAAAATAGAACATGCTGAGAACATGTTAACAGCGGTCATTTCTAGATAAAATACAGAGGTATTCTGTACAAAGAAAGGATATAATTTTTCTTTCTGTCAAACAATGGAAAATTTGTTTCCTTAACGGATTTCCATGATTTCTAAAGTATTCATAAGGAATGTGTTAGTTTTATAATGAAGAAAAAAGCCTTGTTTCCTTTTCATATAAAGAGCATGTTTACAGACCGGAACAGATCTATGCAAGATCAAGATGGTGAAAGCTGAGATGGAAGAAGAAAGAAGAGTCAAGTCTGTTGAGAGCCAGTGTTTAGTCTGACAAAGGGAACTCTTTGAGGACCAAAAGAATCTTCACACTCTTGAAGGGCTGCTATCATGGAGATGACCGATTTTTCTTATTTTGCATGGCTTCAGAGCAAAGAACCAGGATCAAGAGATGGAAATTACAAGGAGGGAAATTTTGCTCGTAGGAAGGAAATCTAACAATCAGAAGCATTCTTAATGAAGAGGTGTTAAAGAAATAATTCTAAATGGAGTGAAATTAAAAAAATAAAAACAAACAAAGCAAAGAAATAAAATAACCACACAGGCTAGTTTTCACCATCCAAGTGTGCAATTTCCCCACCCCCTCAAAGTAATTCACATAAGTACAAGACAGAAAGGCTGGCACTAAGATCTTGGAAAATTTGTTTTACCTAATATTTCATATATAAAATGGTAATAGTAATAGTGCTATCTTTTAGTGTTGTGAGGATTAAAAGAATCCTATAAATAAAAGCCTAATATGCTAAGTGTCTGGTTGTCTGTTCAACCAATCAAAGAGTAATATTCTAATGATATGCTAAGGCTGCTCAATTGCTCGCTATGACATGCACTGACCACTAGGGGGCAGACAATTGACCGGTTGACCAGTAGCTATGATGTGCCCTGACCACCAAGGGGCAGATGTTCCGACTGGTAGGGTGGGGCTGATTGAGACTGAGCCAGACAGGCCAGGCATGCCCTGGATCCCTCTCTGTCCTCCCTGGCCTACCAATCTCCTGTTTCTTCCCCAGCCCCAATCATGCACTGGTGGGGTCCCTCGGCCTGGCCTGTGCCCTCTTGCAATCCGAGACCTCTTCGGGGATGTCAGAGACTAATTTTGGCCTGATCCCGCAGGCCAGGCCGAGGGACCCCACTGGTGTACGAATGTGTGCACCAGACCTCTAGTTATTACATAAAAAGCATTTGGTAGAGTGCCCACACAAGGTAGTGACTCATTATATAATAGATGCAATTTTAATCATAATCTGCAATTATTGTGTTACAGGAAATTCGGTAAAGGTGCAACTATGAACAAGATGCTGGGAGTATTTTTAACCAGATTGTGTTATAGAATAAAAATGTTCGAAACAGATTAATTTTCAAATGTAGGAACCCATCATCCTAGAGTTTTATAATGCAACGGATGAACTTGATATCTACCTTTTTAAGATACACACCGAATTAATTTTTTATCACGTGCCTACCAGATGTGAGCACTTTAAAGTTTAGGTAACTGTCATGTTATGCTTTCCCAATCATGTAATAAACAGAAGGCCCATCACTGTAAGTGTTTTTTTTTTCCCCCCTCACATATACAAACATATTAAAACCCTTTTACATTGGTTTGATTTCTCTAGTATGTGTTTTACCCGTCCTCGGAGGCAGTCGGGCGAGCAGGTGTTTGCAATGGAGTGTGCACTTCATTGGAGTAGAAGGTGTCTGACAGTTGGTTAGCTCCTTCCCGCTGCCTGCAGCAGTGGGGCCTGTGGTGGAACACCCGCATGCTTCTTGGCTAACAAGGCACACTCTGGAAGAGAAAGGAGGGCACACTGCAGCTGGCCGTGGGTGATGTGGGTGACTCGGTCACGGTCACAATGACCCTCCCTCGGGGCAGCCAGGAAACAAGCTTTGCTAAATTGTTCCCCCCCAACGCTGCAGGGGATCCAGGGGCTTCCGTCCTCCCCCATAGCCCCTCCGTGGGCCCCCAGGCGGCACATCCATAACCACCAAGGACATAAATCTCATCGGAAACAAAGAGTGGAAGATGTTCCTAAGCAGTGTGAACACCTGCAGGTCCGCCCATACAAGGCTTCGCGGACCAAGGCGGGAATCCAATGCTTGCCTCCGATGGAGCCGGAACCGTTGGGGAAAACTCAGCTGCTCAGCGCACCCCCCACGGCCCTCCCCAAAGAGCAGGGAGACCCGTTATTCTACAGAATCCGCAGCTGTGCCTCTGAGGCTTCGGATATCCCGAACGAGGGAAGCCTTTTGCAGAGCGGGACCCCGAAGGGTGAGACTCCCACCCCTCCCGCAGGCCTGGAGGGGGACCCCAAGGAGGCGCCCCGGCGAGGACCGCGGCCCGGGAGCCGAGGCGGAGCCCCCGGGCATCGGACGCACCTGGGACATCAGCCTCCCCTTCCCTCCCCAGAGCTGGCGGGCCGCGCGGGGCGTGGAATGCCGCCGCGGTCCGCACCTGCGGCCCCGGGGAGCGCGCGGGCAGGTGCGGAGGGGGAGGCTGGGGGCCCGGGGCGGGGCCGCGGGCGCCTGTGACGGCGGCCGTGACCGCGGCTCCAGGTAACGCATTCTTGCGGGTGGGCAGGCGGCTGGCCCGGGGCGGCAGGGAGCCGCCGCGCAGCGCCTGGACCTAGAGGACCGGAAGCGGAACCGGAAGTGAGGAGAGAGGCCCCGAAGCCCAGCCCAGAGCAGAAAGGCGCTTATCCGCCCGTCCCAGCCCGTGGCAGGGCCCCGCCTCGCCTCTCCTCCTCCCCGCAGGGCGCCCTCTGGCGGCCGCATCACTTTCTCCTCCGAGGGCTGTTTGTCCAATTTCTCAGAAATCCACCTAGCCTCTGTGTCAGTCCTGTTTCCAGGATCTCCTTAAGTTCCTGTGTTCAGGATCTCCTTAAGTTCCTGTGTTCAGGATCTCCTTAAGTTCCTGTGTTCAGGATCTCCTTAAGTTCCTGTGTTCAGGATCTCCTTAGGTTCTCGCCTATCAAATACCCTGGCAGCTCAGTCCATTTCAAGTACCCAGCTTTCCATACTTTACCCTAACCTTAACCCTAAACCTAACCCTAATGACTGGAATGAAAAAGGAAGGAGAGGAAGTAGAGTTAGTGAGTACAGTCAACACTTACATTTTTCTGTGAATGGAAGCAGAGAAATCAGGTTGAAACTGGCGTTAATGTGGGGTTAAGGGAGGACTTTTTTTTTTTTTTTTTAAGGGAGGTATTGCAGAATGTTTGCTAATGGGAATGATTCAGTAGAACAGGAAAAAAAAAGTGATGATGCAACAGTCCCAAAGATTTCCAAAACAAATAACCCCGTTTCTCAAAGCTCTTAGATTCCAGGACATGTGCTTTCCCACCTGCTGCTCTACCACCTGGAGTCTAACTGGTGAGGGTCCCAGATTTAGAGTAGGTGGGAGGCAACCACAGGCAATACATGAACTCTCATGTCCAGGTTTCTCTTATACATTATTACCTTATTATACATGACATTTCACAATAGGATTTTAAAAACGAATCTTTATTTTAAAACACTTAAAATTATAGTGCTATATCTAGTTCAATAAGAGGAATTGTACCATCAATTAAACGGTAGCTAAACTAAGAAGAGGTCAATCACACTTACTTGAAAAAGAAAACAATGCAGATGTCCTATTGTGGTTGTGGTGTTCAAGACCCAGCTGTTCTGGAAACGGGTTAAACTTGCAGGTGACCCTGGATTCTTGAGCTTTTATTGCATAACCCTCCTCCTTCCTGGGGGGAGGGGGGGAGCTCATGATCCGAGGGATTCCCTGACACATTCGGTCCTCTGTGGAGAAAAAGGACCATCTGGGAAAGGCTGGGACTTGGACTCAACCTTGTCCAGCATTTGCCTGTTGCAATCATTTTCTTTCCTTAACTAGATGAATTTTCAGTTGACATGGCTGTCTTCCAGTTTCCTTGAGGTTGTGTTTATATATTGATTTTTACAGAGGGATAGAGAGCTAGAAACGTTGATGAGAGAGAAACATCGGACCAGCTGCCTCTTGCACACCCCCTACGGGGGATGTGCCCGCAACCAATGTACATGCCCTTGACTGGAATAGAACCTGAGACCTTTCAGTCCGCAGACCGATGCTCTACCACTAAGCCAAACCGGTTTCGGCATAATGCTTTCTTTTTCTTTTTCTTTCTTTCTTTCTTTTTTTAAAAAAAAATATTTTATTGATTTTTTACAGAGAGGAAGAGAGAGGGATAGAGAGCTAGAAACATCGATAAGAGAGAATCATCGATCAGCTGCCTCTTGCATGCCCTCCACTGGGAATGTGCCCACAACCAACGTACATGCCCTTGATCGGAATCGAACCCGGGACCTTTCAGTCCGCAGACCGACGCTCTATCCATTGAGCCAAACTAGTTTTGGCTTGAGGTTGTGTTTTTTTTTTTGGTTTTTTGTTTTTGTTTTTTTTTGCACAGAAGGTTGTCTCCTTCCTATAGAAGTGCTTCTCTCTAATTTCTTGCTCATGCATTCCGCCATCCCATACAGGTTGCAAATCTTCACCCCAAAGGGCCTGGCAGTCACTGGCTTGTGTCATTGGTCCATTATTCTCACCACACCGATTCTTTCACAGACTTCCTCAAAGTCAGAACACTTTTGCCTAGCACCTTCACAATTCTTAAAGTATATCATCTCTTTACTATAAAAACTACCACCACGGCACATACCAGCATCTTCCAGGGAAATGCATACAGACGTGGGACTGTCTCGAGCTTTCAGGAATCACCAGCAGAACACTGCACAGGTGCTCCAGGACTGGCTGAAAGGTGAATGCATGGCAGGCAGTTGGTTCTCCGCTGGTGTTGCAAGGGTTCAGGAAGCCCCAGTTTGGGATGCAATTAATGCTGGTGTTCTTGTTCCAGCATTACAAAGGGTTCAGCAATCTGGAGAGAGAGGCTGTGTGTAGATTAAATAAGAGTCCAGATTCAAAAGATAATTTTGAAAGGCATTGGGGGTCAGAGGAACTTCAGCTAAAGGAGCTAAAGGTTTCTCCTTGTCTCAGGACCCTTGCTTTTTATTAACACAATTTGTCCTAGGGCAAGGTGGAGATAATACACTTCAAAGGGTAGGGTATAGAAGCATTATAAGATTGGGGAATTAGTTTACGGCTGTTCAGGTGTTTAGCCAACAGGAGGCAATAACGTAGATTAAGATGCCCTGAGCTGTCTGGCAGCAAACAATTATCCTATTCAGGTTTGGGGGAAGTGCCTTCCAGCTGTTCCAACAGGTGATTACCCCAGTGTAATTTTAATAGTGCCCCTTTCACCCTCATAAGTGTTCCAGTTGTCTTTAGTTTTGAGCCTGGTGAGAGCTGCTGTGGCAGCGTGAGCATCTCCTGATTGGGTGTGAGCCGTGTCAGGCGCAGTGGGGCTGGGACTTCGGGTTTCAGCCCAATCCCTGCAGGCCACCCAGAGGGACCTCACCCATGCACAACTTCGTGCACCGGGCCTACAGTAGGAATATAATACAGAACGCTTTCTCTTCTACAGCTAGCCCTGATTTTAAAAGTGCATTGCTTCATTAGTCCAAAAGAAGTGACACTGGTACCTTGTCCAGTCCCCAGCTTTTCGGTCCCACTGTGCTGTGCTTGTTAGTATCAGAGTGAAAAGTGGGGAAGGCAGATTTGTTTAGGCTAAGAACCAAGACTTCAGAAGGGATTTATTGTCTTGGGCAAGGTCATACATAACCCTGGTAAAGGTTTGATTGGCAAGTGAAAGGCTCATGCATCAGAGAAGTCGCTGACTTCAGTGATGTATAACTCCTGGCTCTATGCCTCCTCCATTCCTCTCTCAGGCTGCCATCTTTGCCCTCTTGCTGCCCTCCGATGTAGGACATGGCCAAGATTGACAGAGAGAGAAGGTTGAAGGGCAGTTGTTAAAATGTCACCTCTTCAGTCTGAAATCCAAATGGCTTAATTTACCATGATGTGTTTTAATAAATGAGAGTGAAAACTGAAGAGGTTGTGGTTTCTAATCAAACAAAGTAATGCTTTAGCTACTGAAATGCGAATGGTTTAATTGGTAGGAGAACACATGTTAATTAGATAAAAATATATTAAGAGGAAACTAAAAACATCTTTGCCACAGTTAGACCTATAGCTGGTTTTTGATAAAAGAAGACACACATGGAAATTACGGAGTCAGATATTAAAATTTTAATCTATTGCTTTGTAACCTCAGTAACTGTTTTAGTTTTGTAATAAAAACAACCTTTGCATTTCACTGCAGATACTTTAACATAGAAACAATATTACTGGTTCTCAGTCACAGTGGGTTTTGTTCTGTTTGAGTACTCTGCCTTTCCTGAGGATGTACTGATTCCTTGATGATAATAACCCTTAACCTCAGAGCTAGACTCAGGCTGCAAAAATGATGTGTACTTTTGCCTTCTGTATACTGTTGAATTTAGGCGATTGCATGTTAGTTTAACATTTTTAAGTGGTTAACTAAGTCTTAGGTGTACAGTATATTCTATAGACTATAACCAGAGGATCTCAGAGAACTTTTGTGGTGGCGGTTATTGTTTTGATCAAAGAATGGTCAAAGGATTTAAAATTGGTTAAGTACAAATGTGGAGCATTTTCTGCCCTCTAGTGGTAAAAAGCAGTTTTGCAATATTGGTTACATTTCAGTGTTTAAATTATAAGGGAAAAGCTACATGCTTAAATTATAAGTGGTTTGAAAATTATAGAGGTACATTACTATAGCTAATTGGTATTGTTGCATATTTTAAGAAAGATACACA